TCTCTCTCTCTCCCTCTCTCTATTCTTTCTATCCTCACACAATGGGTGAGTAAAATAACTCAGGGTTTACAAGGTCATGCTGTCTAGCGGTGAGGACACGCTGGGGATTTGGGGCTGGAAGGATTTCCTCAAAGGTGCCGTGTTGAGACTTCAATAAAAACAGAGAAAGTTATAGATTGCACAAGCAGATCTACAGGGGGAAATAAGTGCATTTGATAGTGAAGAGGCTCACTGAATCACAGCTATCTGGATCCAAATGTTATCAATACTGCTTCTAAGATTCTTTATAAAAGGGCCACATAAAAGACTGGAGTGGAAAGTCTACTTTGTCGCATGTGCCAACAACTGCAACATATTCATATTACACAACTTTCATCATTTGCAAAGAGAAAACTACTTAAAATGCTATACTTTCTGTCATATGAAACATTCACATCTTATTTGTTGTGTGTTCCTGAGCAGTGTGTTATTTTAATAGCGTGCCAAACAGTAAGAGATGTCTATTTTAGTGCTGCTGGTTTGTTACATATCAGATAGAAATGCATCCGGCACAGCAAGACAGACAGTGCACCGTTTACCTCTACAGCCTCATGCACACACACAAAAGCTGAAGTGGTTTTGTCATCCCATAAGTGAATTAAAAATATATTTTAAAAAATCAAAACAAAGCAAAACAAGACTCCTAACATAAAGAGATTTTATTTTGACATGCTCTTTTTATTAAAATACACTAATTACAAAGGAGTCTGGGGGAAAGATCAGCTAATTTCTCTTCTTATTAAAAAGCATATAATCTCAGGCTCTGTCCAAAAAAGCAGCCTGCAAGCAAAGCATATGTGCAGATATTGAAAAGAAATAACATTTTCATCGACTCTACAGTGGTACTTTATGAAAATTGATCAACAGTTTTAATCACAATGTCATCCTCAAAAGATAGAGATGGAAAGAGAGCAGGGGGGGAGGGAGGATAACAGAGAACAGGACTTTATTGCCTGCTGTAGTTAGATGGTAAATTTCCTCCTGGCAGATATTTATTGAGTTAGTTGAGTCTAGAGAGAGCTTTAACATTGATTGTGATCATTAAATATATCCGCTCGAAATGGCAACATGGCATTCCCTCATTCAATGGAGCCAATAGGAGTAGAACAAAGGCATAATCAAATCAATCCCCTCATAATTATTCTTTGAGAGGTGAAATTAATCACAAGAAGAAATAAAAACAATAATGGAAAATGAAATGGTCAGTCGTAAACAATTACTGCCCAAATTGAAATGAACTCAGTGAAGGGAGAAAAATCAACTCTAAATTCAAGTAATTAAAATAACATTCTAATGTATATTGGTTATTTGGGTTTACACTGGCTTTTGCTTTTTTTATTGTCTTGTACTGTTATTATAAGAGAGAGATAAAGAGACAGAGAAATCAAGAGAGACAGAAAGAGAAAGTGTG